TACAGGTACCCGTCCAACCATATCCTAAAAAGTATTCATGGCCGAGTGGGCATTGGCCGAAAATCCGTATTAAGACTTTTCACCAGCATCACTCAGGAATCCATCCAACCATCTCCGTATTCAAATGGCCTTCAAGTGGCAAGAAGTAGGTAGAAGCGTGAAGTACGAAGGCGGATGGGGTAGATTGGCTTCGGGCCCGTCCGGGGAGTAACGAAAGAACACACATACATGTCTGTTCTTGGAGTAGGCATGCGTTTGAAGTATATTCGGACCTGGACATAAAAAAACACATGCGTTCAACGACCGACGTGTACCGATGGGGTCACCGCACAGAACACAACGAAATAACCATTACGAAACAATCCCGCCCAACAACCAACACTACATAATTCTCGGCTTCAACGAAAGGATCATGACTAGAGAAAGCTTCTTCAGGCATCCCTGAACAGAGCCCCCTGGCTGAATGAATCCACATCCAAGAATCCGAACTATATATTCCTGACTCGCGTACCCTTGATATCCGACCTCCACACCATCTGCGTCGACCCACTCCTGTCTCGCCATCTTCCGCTCCTTCCGAATTGCATGAGGGCGATGAGGATGAGGAATGAGGGCGATGAGGACGCGGAAGGCAGAAAAGACTGGCGCATAAACGTGGTCATGGCGAAGAGGAAAGCGTTCGAAAGAAACGTCCGTCTTCCCAGCGCGGGCGGCCGCCGAAGCGTTTCGGCAATGTGGCTGCACCAGCCTTCTCCTTCTCCTCCTTCTCGTCCTGCTTGTGCTTCTCCCCTCCTCCTCCTTACCATGCTCCCTCTGCTCATCGCCCCCCCCCCTCTGCCCCCCACAGCGTCCACCAAGCTCGCTCGCCAAGTAAGGCTTCAAAACCTTACTCAATCCATAACATGTCAAAAACACCAGAAAGATCCTTATGAAGACCCCCCAAACAACCCAACCCAACGAACAAACCATCTTGCTGCTTAGTCATATTGGTTTACGGCCGACCAACTGACCCCAGACCGACTAAGATGCGACGTGGTTTGTCCGGGAAGGCGCTGAAACTGTTGAATTTTATGTGTTGGACTGGTGGTGGTTCCAATTGGTTTGCGAGTTTCTGCTTCCAAGCGGTGATTCCCGTTGTCGTTATCTATGCTGTTCTCGTCCCCTTCAAGGACATTATCGTAAGCATCGCAGTGCACCAACACAACAAGTAAGCAATATCAGACATCGGGCCCGAACGCAAAGACAAGCAGGCGGAGCAAACAAGCAACAGCAACCATCACACACAAGGTATACAAAGCAATGTGCAGCAACATTTGCTACCAACGTGCCCTTAGTCTCCTACTACTACCACTCACAATACTCATACGACTGTTCCTACGACGACGACTGGGACTACGACTACGATTGGAATACGACGGCGACGACTACTACTACTACTACTACTACTGCTACTACTACTACTACTACTACTACTACTACTACTACTACTACTACTTTTACTGCGACAACGACGACTACTACTACTACTACTACTACTACGACTACTATTACTACTACTACTACTACTACTACTACTACTACTACTGCTACTACTACTACTACGACTACTACGAAGACTACTACTACTATTAATAATAATACTACTACTACTGCTGCGACTACTACTGCTACTACCACTACGACTGCTACTACTGTTACTACTATTGCTACTATTATTACCACTACTACTACTACTACTACTACTACTACTACTACTACTACTACTAGTACTACTACTACTACTACTACTACTACTACTACTACTACTACTACTACTACTACTACTACTACTACTACTACTAACTACTATACTACTACTACTACTACTACTCCTACTACTACTACTACTACTACTACTACTACTACTACTACTACTACTTTTACTACTACTACTACTATTATTACTACCACTGCTACTTACAGTTCGTCCACTACCACGACTACGACCACGACGCCTACTACTACTACAACTACTACCACTACTACTACTACTACTCCTACTAGAACTACTACTACTACTACTACTGCTGATACTACTACGACGACTACTAAAGACTACTACTACTGATACTACTACTGCTGCGACTACTACTGCTACTACCACTACTACTGCTACTACTGTTACTACTAATGCTACTAATACTACTACCACTACTACTACTACTACTACTACTACTACTACTACTATACTACTACTACTACTACTCCTACTACTACTACTACTACTACTACTACTACTACTACTACTACTGCTACGCTACTAGTGCTGCTGCTTCTACTACTAGTGTTATTACAAAGAGTTCCTCTACTACTACCACTGCGGCCACTACTTTGCGTTTGTTTGCCCGCTACTACCACTACCACTAAAGCTTTGTCAACTACGCCTACGAGTACTATTACTACGACTACGACTACTAAAACAATTACCCCTACGATTGTGGCAACGACTTCTTCTTCTTCT